GGTCATATTTAGTCTTTTTACATCCCTTCAAGGGCTGCGATGCCCAGAATGGGGACTTCTAGGCAAGGAGAAAAGACCTGCCCCATCCTGGTGACAGAAATAAGAAAGTCTTGGGCTCAGCTGGGTCTCCCTCAGGACGAGGACCAAGCCCTACCCCTTTGGAGGACACAGTGGTGGGCTTTGAGCAGTTGGAGGCCCAGGTGGCAACCCACTGGGTCAACAACCCAACCCCTGAGGCCATCCTCCTGTGTGCCTTCCAGTGGCCCCTCTGCCTTTTGAATAGAACTGAGTTTCTTTAGGGCCCCAAGGTAGAGCCCCAAGGAGGACGCTGCCCTGCCCTGCTACCCCAGCTCTTTTCATTAACTGCTCTCTTGGGTTCAGGCTAGCCATGTGGAACCACACGCAGTCTCCCTGTTGCCCATTGCCCACTTCTGAAATATTCATTGCGGTTGCCCTTCTCTTCCTCCTCATCTTTGCCTGGCTGAGGAGTGAGCTCACTTCCTCGGAAGCACCTTCCCTCATACTCTACGTCTGGGGTAGGTGCCTCTCCAAGGTGTCCATTGCTCCCGGAGCTTCCCAGATACCAGTGGCCTTTTGATGGGTCTGCTTCCCCACTAGACTGGCAGCTTCTTGGGGACAAGCCATCCTGGTGACTGTGCTGCCTCCAGCTCTGAGTACAGGGCCTGTTGCAGACCGGGCACTCCGTATGTCGGCTGAGACAAATTAAGCTCCAAACAGACGAGGAGGCCGACCGAAAACTGTGCTCTGGGGTCTTGTGCCTCCCCCAAGTCTCTTTGTCTTTTGCCACTGTGAGCCACTGCCCATCAACACTCTTGGTGCCCTGGCCTGAGTCTGAGCTTGGGGGGTGGGGGGCAGGAATGTGCACAAACACTTGCTGACTTCTGCAAAGGCGTTTACTTGAGGAAACAAGGTGAACACTGAGGAAACATCTGTGCATGATGGAACCCTCTGGAACGAGTGGAATAGCGTACTGAACTGTGTGAGGGCCATACCCTAGCCTCATGTGTCCAGTACAGTCCATGGCACAGTGGCATCTCCTGGGAGCTGACTAGAAATGCAGCATCTAGACTCCACCACACCTGCTGAATCAGACCCCCGGGGGACTTGTGTGTACACTGGGGCTTGAGGGCCCTGGTCTTAGGGCTACAGAAAACAGTTTGGGCAGAAGCTGCAGTAATTGGAGAAGCTGCATCAGGGAGGGAGCACTTGAGCTGGGACTTAGTGGAGGGCAATACCGAGGGCGGGGGGAGGCGGAAGGGTGTTGGAGGCTATGGAGGTGTTAGCCAGGCAAGGATCAACTCTTCCTGTTAATGATGTTCGTATGAAAATCAGGTTATTAGGCCCTTTTACAAATGACAGAGCAATTGGCTCAAGCTTCGATTTGGTTTGGTAGCTAGGAAAACTTTGATGAATATATCAGCTCTGGTGTTTTTCACCATTTAATTATAGATTCAAGTTTCTGCCTTAGAGGCGGCAAACATGGTTGAGGGCCCATGGGACTGGAAGCCCAGGGCCTGGGGTTATTTTGCTGAGAATGAAGCTGTGGGATTCTGACCAAGTCACTTCCCAAAATGATCATTTTAGGAGTTCATACTTTGGTGGGTCAGGAGCTAGGGCATGGCCCAGCAAGGTAGCTGTACCCTGGGTGGCACTGGCCAGAGTCACTTAACTGATGGCAGCCGTGGGCTGGGCTGGGAGGCCCAGTGAGGCTTTATCTGGCACCTCAGTGCCTCTCCCAGTGGCCTTGCCCTCCACATGGCTGCTTGGGCTTCCTCGCGGCATGGTGGTCTTGGATGTTTTACATGGCAGCTGGCTTCCAAAAGGGAACATGTAGAAGCTGCATAGTCTCTCTCCCTCTTGTTTTTGTTTGTTTGTTTGTTTGTTTGTTTTTTTAGAGAGCGCACACGTTGGTGGGGGGGGTAGAGAGAGAGGGAGAGAGAGAATCCCAAGGAGGCTCCATGCTTGCTCAGCACGGAGCCCCAACGAGTGGGTCTCGATCTCACGACCCTGAGCCAAAATCAAGAGTCGGACGCTCAACTGACTGAGCCACCCAGGGGCCCCAGCTGCAAAGTGTCTTAAGACCTAGAACTTACACAGGCCCTGCCCAGATCCCAGGGGAGAGGAAAGGGTTTCCAATCTCCTGATGGATGGAGCAGCGTGCAGGCACAGGGAGGAAGGAATCGGCTGTGTCTGTCTTCGGGGACTCTGTACCTCATTGGGACCTGGACTCCTTTCTTTCTGCTCTCCCATCCTCAGCACTGGCTTCCCCTCGATGGTCCAGGGTGGCTGTTGGAGTTCTGGCCAGCACGAAGGAGCAGAGGAGGAAGAGGGCTCCCCCTTCCCCCACAGAAGGGGTATATGCCGTTGGCCCACTAGTCCCGCCACCGTGACTTGCTGTAGATGTTCAACTGGGGGCCGTTGTGCCCAGAAATCAGAAGGCTGTTCTGAGGAAGGAGGGGGGAAATGAACGTGGGAAGGAGCTTCCAGCCATTTCCTTCCCAAACCCGCTTGGAAGTTGTAGGGGTCAGGAGCCCCAGCCTGGCCAAGCCTGGAGACACACAGGGAGGTGTGCCCCCCGGGCTGAGCCCACCAGCTGCGCCCGCCTGCCCCAGGGCCCTCACACACACCCCCCTCTGTCCCAGTTCACCACAGGCACGTGCAGCGACCCCGCGGCCCACAGCTGTGAGCTGTGCGGCAAGGCCTTCCGCCTGCAGCGCATGCTCAACCGCCACCTCAAGTGCCACAACCAGGTGAAGAGGCACCTGTGCACCTTCTGTGGCAAGGGCTTCAATGACACCTTCGACCTGAAGAGGCACGTCCGCACGCATACAGGTGAGGAAGGGGAGGGGGCGTGGGCCTCGCGCTTGCTTTTGCGGTTCTGGCCCACGGAGCTCCTGCCCCTTGGCCACCAGAGAACCACATCGGGAGCATGGAGCAGTGTGGTATTTCTGGAAAGACGGCAGGTTGGGACGTCTGAGGCCAGTGCATCTGGGCTCACCTCCTGGGTGTGCCACCAGCCCCCCGAGTCACCTTGGGCCAGGCAAGGCCCTTTGCTGACGCTGTTTTCGCCTCTGTATGATGTGGTAATGGCCCAAGTTCTAGGGCCCCTCAAGACACATCACTGGCTGGAAGTGTCCTCAGAGTTGTGAAGTCTGACACAAGGCTCCCCGGGGCATAGTTCAGCCATCATCTGGCTGACTGCTGGAATGGATTCTTGTGGTCTCACTGGTGGTGTCTTTTGCTCCTTTGTTGGGATGTAAGCCAGTCTCAGAATGAGCTCCTGAGAGCTCGAAGAGAAGGAAATGCTCGGCTCCTATGTGAGGCTGGCAAGTGTCTTCCTCCCCTTGGTCCTTCCTCAGTTTCCAGACCTATGAAGCATGGATCTGGGTCCTTACCAGCTCAATTCACAGAGGATCCTAGGGGTGCCCACTGGCCTCTCTTCCAGCCCTTCTGACTGGTTAAGGCATCATTTGTTTTAATTTAGACACATCTGGCCTCTAGGCTTCCCCTTGAGGCCCACAGTTCTATACCTCAAAAGAGGGATCTTTTGAAGATAATTCTAAGGATGCCATTTCCCTTCTGAAAATTCTCCAACCCTGGGTGAGATGAAATCCAAACTCCTCATCTTGATGGACTTCATGTAAGCTTCTTACAATCTGGGTCCCATCTTCAAATCCCCATCCTGTCCTGTCGTATCCCATTTCATTTCAGGTAAACCCATCCCGTCCTAACCATTCAGCCCCATCCTACTCATGACCCATTCTCTCTACAGCCTCATAGAATTTACGATAGATTGTCTCCTGATCCTCAAGTCCTTTCAGAGTTTGGGGTTCCCTCTGGCATCTTGGTGGAATAGGACAGTGTCCACTCTTCCCTCCGGATGGAGATCCCAGCTCTTCAGTCCTCACACAGGGCCCTTCTCCGATCCTGTGTATTCAGATTTCTTGTATAGCCCTTATCCCACCGTTGTGTTCTGAGAGTGCTGGCCAGGAGCTGTTTGCCTGGCCTGGGAAGAGTGTCCTCCACCAGAGAGAGTGGACTGGCATACTTAGAAGTTCCTTTTTCCCTTCTAAAATACCTTTTCTCAAGTGGATTTTTCATTTAAATGTAGCATGCATCCAGAAGGGCACACAAATCATAAGTGTAGAGTTTGACGCGTTTAAGGAATTTTTACAAAGTGAACACACCCATGTAACTAGCACCGAGATAAAAAAACAGAATACAGCAGTCCCCCTTATTCATGGGGATACATTCCAAGACCTCAGTGGATGTCTGAAACCACAGGTAGTACCAAACCCTATATATCATATATATATATACCTGATAAAGTTTAATTTATATAGTAGGAACAGTAAGAGATTAACAACAAGAACTGATAATAAAATAGAACACTTACAGAGATATACTGTATTAAAAGTTAAGTGAACGTTGTCTCTCTCTCTCTCAAAATACCTTATCATACTATACTCACCCTTCTTGCGATGATGGGAGATGATAAAATGCCTACGTGATGAGATGAAGCGAGCTGAATGACGTAGCATTAGGCTACTACTGACCTTCCGAAGCTAGGTCAGCAGGAGGATCATCTGCTTCTGGACTGTGGTTGACCATGGGTAACTGAAATCACTGAAAGCAAACCCACAGATAAGGGGGGCTACTGTACGTCTAGCCCCCCGAAGTCACTGCTCCTCCCTGTGTCACTATCCTCTTCCCTCCAAGAGGCACCACTTGTGTGACTTGGAACAGCATTAATTACTGTGCCTGGTTTTGAGCGTAATAGAAATGGAATCATGTAGTGTGAACTCTCCCGGGTCTGGCTGTAAGGCTTCTTTTTTAGTCCCTAGCACCAGTGAATCAGTAAAAGTTTGATCTCTGTGTGGTTAGGCTGGCACCCTAGGTTGGGGCAAGGAGAATGCTGTGGGAGTGGTGGGCTGGTGGGGCTCCTGTGGGTTTAGGTTGCAGACCCTGACCCAAGGATTTGGGTGTAAGCTGTTTTTTGAAGAGATGATCTCAGGAAGCACAGTGAGGGGCTACAGAAGGGAGATGGGGAGGGGAAGACAGCCAATAAGAGCAAGCTAATGAGCAGGTTATCACTGTGGGCAACAGGGGCTCAACCCCACTGGGGACCCTCTGAAGAACCATGTAGAATGCACTGCAGAATTGCTCCGGGGTGAGGAAGCTGGGGTATTTATCCAGTAATTCCTGTCCCTCATTGATAGGGGTCCATCCTGGGACCCTCATTTCCTAGGCAGCTCCTCCCCCCAGCTCCTTGCAGATCTCTGGTGTTTCCTGGGGAATCTCCTCAAGCAGAGAGATGCAGGAAGCCACTGACTTTGCTGGAACTGAGGTGACCCAGTGAAAGGCTCAGGGGTGGGGGCAGGGTGTTGGCAGTGTCCTCTTAGGGACAAGAAGAGTTAGCAAGTGAGGGGGCTGGCTTGGCAGAGGCTGGGAGTCCCTGCAGAGGGTGACACAGCTTCTTCAGATGGCAGCAAGCCATGAGTGGTCACTTTCCTCCATGCCAGGCCCTCAGCACTTTGGCTGCTATCTCAACCCGAAGGAGTCAGCGAGCCCCACGTAACGGATGAGGAGAGGAGGCTCAGGGAGGTCAGATAACCATAGGTGGTGGAGCTGGGAACCGGACCGGCTGGTGCTAGAGTTCATGGGCTTCCATTTTGTCAGTCCCCTTCTCGTCCCCTTTGCCTCCCAGTGCCTTCCTCACTCAGGTTTCTCCCCGAGGCTGGGGCCTCACCAGCCTGCCCCATTCCAGTTTCTGGAAGCCTGCTTGCCCTGCAAGAAGGTGAGGTGAGGGGGCACTCAGGCCTGGCACAGACTGCACACTGCAGCCTGGGGGTGGGCAGGTTGCATGGGAGTCTTGAGTGTGTGTGTTCAGTGGTGCCAAGATACCCACAAGAGTGGGCAAGGAAGGAGATGGCCGGCATCTCAGACTCCTGAGCTCCTCCATCTCTGGCTCCTCAAAGGTGACATTTCTAGTGACTCATAGAGGGGCTGGAAATTACTGAAGTTGGTGAATCATAATGCCTTCCACCTAGTGCTTTCCTAAAGACCCTCACGGTTTACCCCATGAAGGGGAGGCATCTAGGAGGGGGAAAGCTGCAGCCATCCTGGCCGGTACAGCAGCCCCTGGCCACGGGTAGCCGCAGAGCGCCCCAGCATGTGGCTGGTCCCATTGAGATGTGGTGTTCAGTGTAAAACCGACACCAGATTTTGATTTAATGCAAAATAAGAATGTAAAACATCTCGGTTTTTAATGTTGATTCCACATTGGAATGGTAATATTTTGAATACACTGGGTTAAACAAAATATATCACTGAAATTAATTTCACCTGTTTTTGTTTTTAGCGAGAGAAAGTGCGCATGTGCAGGGGCGGGGTTGGGGTGGGGTAGGGAGGGAGGGGCGGAGGGAGAAGGAGAGAGAGAATCTTAAGAAAGTTCCACACCCAGCACGGAGTCGGCTGGATCTCACGACCCTGAGATCATGACCTGAACCGAAATCAAGAGTCGGACGCTTAACCGTCTGAGCCACCCAGGTGCCCCTCTTTACTTATTTTAATGAGGCAACTGGACATTTTAAGATTACAAGTGGCTTGCATTTTAATGTTTGTTGGACAGCATTGACTAAGATCGAATCGAATCTACAGGTAATGATTTAAAAAATTTTCAAACATAATTTGACTCTTAAAGTGATCAACAAATAGAATTATGGAAATGTCTTGAACCTGTTTTTCCTGTCCTGGTTTATTTGCTGCTGGAGATGTGCCTCCAGGTAGTAAGGGACCAGAACGAGGAGCAAAGGGCTTACTGGCAAATTAGGCGGTAGCGAACGGAAAAAGGATTCCTGGCTCTGGGGATGCGGCCACGCCCGCGGCAGGAGGGGCTGCCATGGCGTCCTGGTGGGAGGGGCCTGCGCTGCCATCTCTCCTGCTCTGCACAAAACGGTTAGTCAGTAAAAAGAGCAAAACTTTGGGGTTCTCAAACATTTTCAAAGTTCTTGTAAACAACCTCCCTGATTCCAAAAGATCTTACCAGAATTCTGCGAGTTTGGGTCTTGATTAAGACATGAAGTTTGGATTTATGTTATTAACGATTGCAAGTAGACGTATTTAGACCAGAAGCAGACATATGTGAACACAGATACGATAGACAGCAGTTGAGTGAAGGCTGTGTTTGCTTAGAGTCTGATTGGACCGGTCTTGACTAATTTAAAGACTTCCTGGGATCGCAGGACCCTTCTTTTGAGAATTATAGCTACCGTATCGATGAGGTGGGCAGAGAGAGTGGCGTAGAGAGCCAGGACCAATCTCCTTCCCTCGCATCTCCTCCTGTCCTGTGCTAGGAGGGACAGGGCAGCTAAGGAAAGACTCAGAACACAAGGAGACATCTTGAAAGAGGCCCAGGGAAACCAGAGTCTGTAAATGTCTTACCTTAATATCCAAGTGGATGAAAGAAAAGATTAAGATTTTTTTTTTTTTTGGATGACTTCACCAAGAAAAAAGTAACTCAGAGTGTGTGTGTGTGTGTGTGTGTGTGTGTGTGTGTGTGTGTGTGTGATGGGGAGGGGGGATGTTAGTCAAATGACATCTGATTCAAGGTTGGAAGACAGAAACTGATGCACAAAAAGTAACATTTTGTGAAAATAGATTAGCAAGTAAGAGGCTATTTTCAATCCAGATTGTCTTGGGTCAGATTCCCTAGAAGCAGATTCTGAGATGGTGATTCTTATAATATGATTTCTTGGGGCGCCTGGGTGGCTCAGTTGGTTAAGCGTCTGCCTTCGGCTCGGGTCATGATCCCGGGGTCCTGGGATCGAGCC